ATGATAAATACCCGGTCGTTTGAAGATGATTTTCAAAAGTTTGTAATACATTTTTCTGCAAATTGATGGACGATCCGCATTTTTTTGCACTTAAACTGCTTTAGCGTGTATAATTGTGTGTGTACTTTAATTGGAAATTTAAAAGAAGGCGAAACTCGAACAGGCTTTTAGTACATGAGCACCCTTAACTTAGTATTTCGAGTATATGCAGCTTCTCCATTGATAATTTATTGACTCATTGTTATCAGCGTTATAAAATAAACTGCACCGAACACAATAATATCACACTCAATAACTGATAAATCAAAATCACTGTCAGTTTAATAGCGCAATGTGTATTTGAAAAGTTTATCAGATCTACAGATGCACCCGCACTAAGAGAAAAATGTCGAATTTAAAGCTRCATTTGTGCGTCCSAAGCCTCAGGSSSGAATGRGAGCCGSMGTGRCCGAGAAAAATCGGTTYACCCTCCCATAAAAAGTTATCACTTCAAAAAAGTYATCAACAWTTTYCCAGCAACGSAASKRAGTYACTGCGCCGGTATGTTGGGTTGGCGCACCAAGCCACTTGGGTAACACTGCGCCAACTGCTAAAAATTCATGGGGTTACCCAGGCCGGGAAAATTGTTGATAACAAGATCGAATTTTCGATTCCAATAACCTGCAGAGGCAACTGGAAAGGTCAACATGTAATTAAGGTAGACGACGAGCAACAGAACTTCCCTTCACCTAGTGGGCCCGCATTAAATGAAGGCGGAAATTACCGGCATGGGCAAAAATATTAAACCTAATTACCGATATGGTGGCAAAGGCACATTTGTCACAGCCCTAAGTGTACTATCGGATTTCGTCGGGGGCCGAGAGTATTAAAGAGAAAAGCCACACGAAATTACTCATTCGCGTGACGAAAGGAACTTTGTCTTTTCGGTCTTGTGACTGTAAATTAGGTTCTTTGCTCGCTGCGTGGGGTGCGTGTAATGAATCATTAAACTGCATTAAAAAGTTTCCCGTAATCCCATCACCAACCGCAGCTAGGTACCTACTCTTAAACAGTGACTAGAACCTACCTCGGGTTGATTCTCTCCATGAACGATGCAGACCAGCTGGGCTTCCATTCCCTCGGCCGAATGGACGATGGGGTTTTCCACGGATATTTCCGGGGGATCTGGAAGCAAAAGTGACCGCAGTCATTAGCCGATAAACATTCGCAGCTGAAACCGAATAAACGACAATGCAGAACGTTTTGCTTGCCGGCTTATTGCAGTACAATTCCAGCAAATCGGGAAGTAATGGAGAATACACAAATCCGAGGATAATATTCAACCGCTTGGGGCTACGCGGTTATTAAAGCAGGCTTTGGAATCAACGAAATAATATCGCTTTATGTGAAAAACCATATGCATGACGTTGGTTTAAGAAAATATTCCCAAACTGCTGCAGGGTGAGTTGCTGGTTGATAATAAAGCAAATGCGATTTTGCTTCCAATTGTCCAAAGGTTGGGGATTGCTGAGAAGGAAAAACGGGGCTCCTCGAACACCATCACAGGCCTGGCTGAAGTCTGGAAACACCAGGGTTTACAACAAGCTCGGTTGAACGCATGGAATCATGATAGCTTATCGAGTGAAACGATGCCTAAGGAAGCGATTAGCTCGAGTGAAATCGATACACATTGAAAATCCCCGCCTGATTTGTGCCCTTCGGTTCAATGAGTTCATTCTGTCCGGTCAGGGCAAGACGGATGGCCGCCCACCCCCCACCAAACATATAAGTAGGGCACAAGCGGTCGAACATAGGTAAGAGATTAATTGGGGATGAGCCAGGACAGGGGAATCAGGGAAAATTGCCTATGAAGTTCAACAGGGGGAAAATCATTGTCGCTTTTCTGGCAGTAAATCTTTCATTGATGAAGTGGCCTATAAGACACAGTAAAATAAGTTCTATATTGTTGAGGCGGATTCATTTGTTTACAAACTGCTTGTTGGGTATTTCGCCTAAAAAATTTTTGTCTTTAAAAAAGGCAGAATTTCCTCACGTCGTTTATTACAGATTGATAAATAGTGCTCTTGCACTATTTATAAATTTATTTAATTATTTTTTTAAATTTATTTATTTAGCAACTTACTTTCAATACAATGACAATTTTTATCAACTAAATTTTGGAATGGCTATGGGGTCACCGCTATTTTATAAATTACATTTTTTGTATTTTCAATTATATCATGAGGTTTTGTTGATGTATTTTCCATTTACACTCATGACGAACAAAAACTTGATGAATTTTTATCTTATCTCAATAATAAAGAACCAACAATTAAATTCACTATTGAAAAAGAACAAAATCACCAAATTCCTTTTCTCGATATACTAATTCAGAAAAATTTAGACAA